ATAGTCCTCCATTAATAATTAAAAGGTAGTTTATTTAATCAGCATTTCAGTTTAGTTTACGTGACGATAAGAAAGTTGAACATATAATATATAATAAGTGGAAATGTCACTTCTCTAGATTTTTTTATATTTTATTTACTTATTCCTTAGTAAATCTGTTTTGTGACATCTGCAAAATAAAATGAAATGTAGCACTCCACACATTTATCCTAGAACTAGACGCCACCATCTTTTTTTCCCTGTCAATTATTGTTATAAATGTTTCTCTTTTCTGCTATTGGACATAGTTCGTGGAAAAGGAGAAATGGAAACAATGTTTCCGTTCCCTTCTTTATTTGCATTGCATAAATCTTTAATGCACATTTTAAGGTTAACACAAGTTATAGGCATTTTTAATGGACAGACAGGCAGACATATAGACAGGCAGACATATAGGCAATATTGTATATACATTGATATAAAAGAATATGTAATTGTGAACTGTATGGGAAAGAGCCGTCTTGGATATATAATAAATTATGAGATGTTTCCACATCCAAATATAATGTCACATTTCCCGGGGACATGGCCAGTTATATTTGTATGCTACAGAATTTTCATTTTTTTCAAAATGATTATTTACAAAAAAAAGTGTTAAGTTGCAAATGTAATTAGCCATTTGATTACACACTGACATATCATAACATTCATAAAGTGCTTCAGACTGGGTTTTTTGCCTTCTTTTGGATCAACAGCAAAAACATATGTGAGGAAGGCTTAACTTGATGGACGCAAGTCTCTTTTCAACTATGTAACTATGTAACATTACACTATAAAACCAGGGCCGTCTTTAACGTGGGCAAACGGGCCAGCTTCCCCGGGCCCAGTTACTCTTGAGAGGCCAAAGCAGCTGCCCTATGGGCCCTGCTGCCCTCAACAATTTTTTCCCCCGTGGGGCCACCAGCCCACACATTAAGGAGGCCACCGGGTGGGTAAGCAGGGGCCCGGTCACACGCTGTAGCCCTTTAACAGCGTGACCGGCCCTTTGCTTTTCGGCAGTGCTGGGAGGAAGTGCCGGTTGCAAGTCACTTCCTCCCACTAAGGAGAGGAGCCGCGCGGGAGACGAAGGAGGGAGAGGCAGATCCCAACAGCCTCAGCCTCCAGTCTGGACAATGGGGAAACACCTTCCAAGGTAGGAAACTAGAGGGTGGGTTTAAAAGTGTAAATTTATGTCAGTATTCTGTCTGTGTATGTGTCTGTGTTTGTGTCAGTATGTCTGCCAGTGTATGTGTCTGTGTTTGTGTCAGTATGCCTGTCAGTGTATGTTTATGTCTGTGTATGTGTTTGTGTCAGTATGTCTGTCATTGTATGTTTATGTCAGTATGTCTGTCAGTGTATTTGTCTGTGTTTGTGTCAGTATGTCTGTCAGTGTGGGTGTCTGTGTTTGTGTCAGTATGTCTGTCAGTGTGGGTGTCTGTGTTTGTGTCAGTATGTCTGTCAGTGTGGGTGTCTGTGGTTGTGTCAGTATGTCTGTCTGTGTATGTGTCTGTGTTTGTGTCAGTATGTCTGCCAGTGTATGTTTTTGTGTCAGAATGCCTGTCAGTGTATGTTTATGTCTGTGTATGTGTCTGTGTTTGTGTCAGTATGTCTGTCATTGTATGTTTATGTCAGTATGTCTGTCTGTGTATGTGTCTATGTTTGTGTCAGTATGTCTGTCAGTGTATGTTTTTGTCAGTATGTCTGTCAGTGTATTTGTCTGTGTTTGTGTCAGTATGTCTGTCAGTGTGGGTGTCTCTGTTTGTGTCAGTATATCTATCTGTGTATGTGTGTGTTTGTGTCAGTATGTCTGTCAGTGTATGTTTGTGTCAGTATGTCTGTCAGTGTATGTGTCTGTGCTTGTGTCAGTATGTCTGTCTGTGTATGTCAGTATGTCTGTCTGTGTATGTCAGTATGTCTGTCATTGTATGTATTTGCTCCTACTAATGTCGCATGAAAATAAAGCAGTTTTTTTCATGTTCTGAAAATCTCACATCGAAGCTGCAACCCCACTTGTTTTCCTGACCTGTTACCATTTTCACACCTCACCCCTCTGTTAGTCTCTACATTGGCTTTATATAACTTCTAGCAGTCAATTTATATCAGTAATCCTCACCTATAAAGCAGAGTAGATGGGCCGAATGGTTCTTGTCTGCCATCACATTCTAAGTTCCGTTTTCCCATGTAAAGCTTTCGGTTACTGTCAATCCAGATAGTAGTTATACTGGAACTCATTTCCTATGTTGAGTTTAAACACTTCTCCAGTTTTCACAAAATGTACCTTTTGTTGAGGGTCCAATAGCCTACCTGGATGTATATTTCAACTTCACTTCTACGTCCAAAGAGGTGCCTTTTACTTGGCATCTATTGTAAAAAAAGACCTCAGACTGTCTCTGCCGGGTTTTCAAGGGAATCTAATGGATTCAAGATATACTAAAACCAAGAATAGTCTCTATTTTGTATAAAAATAGGAATAGTCTTGTGCAACTATACTCGTACACAGGAACTACAGCTGACTACAGGAAGGCCATTCTCTTGGAAAGGGGCACACATACAGTAAACAGGAGCTTAGTCAGTCCTCTAAAACATTCTCCAAAACAGAACATTTTCCCTTTTTCCTCCTTCGAGCACTATTCCTTTTTTCAGTCTACTTTCAGGTCAGCTGTGTTGTCATCAACTCTACCCTGCAGACCTACAATCAAGCCGTTTTTTTTTACTCTATCCTGGTTGTTACTGCCAATATCCAGATGATGACTTAACATTGACAGTGAAACAGATGTCATCCAGTCTCTGGTCAATCTTCACGAGAACATGCTGGATCCCAGATATACTGGAATAACACCAGGATTCATCATAAGTGACCCTAAGTGGCCACCTAGATCACAGAGGTTAGACAGGGGCCCCAGAACCATGAAGTTGTTTGATGAATGAAGTGTGGGGGGCTGCAAAATGGGGGGCTGCAAATGGTAACCTGTGGGATCTTACTCCTTATTTGATTGGAACCAAGCATATAGTGACTCTTGTAAAAAATAATAAAAAAAATAATAAAAAAAAGATTCTATTCAGGAACTATAGCTGCTTACCAGATGGCCACTCTCTTGAAAAGGGACTTACTTAGATTTAAAAAAGACACTATCCTGGTACAGTGAATCATGAAATATACTAATGAATGAGAAGCAAGTTTGAAATGCATTGTTCTTGCGAAGGGACAGTTCGTGACAAAATGGTGATTTTACACTTTTCTGCTTTATCCTATTTCTTTTATTGGAGAGAAACACATTACAACTGATGATCATAAGTATACATAAGTACACCACAGTAATAAAACTGACAATAATGTTTGTTTTACTGCCAGTAAATGTGCTTTTTAAATTCACGTGTGGCTAAAAAAACATGGTTTTGTTCCGAATTACTAAATTGCATAAACACCAATATGTAACTTCAGAAGTCGCATATAAATGGTCTAACCTCTTCTTCAGTTACATTATCTTAAAAAATTGTCCCTCATTGGTTTCAAGGACATTCCATGATAAATTGCTTAGCTGAGTTATTAAGGGAACACGCTTTTTGAGCGCAGGGTGTATACACTTTTTTCAGTTTACTGAAAGTGCAGAATTCAATAAGAATTGTTACTTTTAAAAATTAACCTTGTTACACCCACATTATTGCTCTGCATTACTATTTTTGCATAAAGAGAAATAGTAGACTCTCTATGAGCTAAGCCCACTGGTGCAGCAATCATTTGGCCCTAACAGATATGTCTTCTTAGGAGCAGTGTAGGAAGTAGTGTAGGCAGAAAGCAACCCTCTACAAATCTCAGGTAAGAAGTCAAACCCTTCTTCGACTACTTACTATGGGTGGAGCCTAACAGATATGTCTTCTTAGGAGCAGTGCATAGGAAGTAGTGTAGGCAGAAAGCAACCCTCTACAAATCTCAGGTAAGAAGTCAAACCCTTCTTTGACTACTTACTATGGGTGGAGCCTGGACACTCCTGGCACCATAACTACTAAAGCGAGCTTTAGTGTTTATGATACTTGGAGTTTTTCTTTAACTACTGTAATGAAATTATATAACAATGTGTATTTTTCCCCAAACAATAAAATCATAACACATTAGTCATATGCATACACCCTTTAAATCATGTCAATACTCTTTGTCGACCATTGTTATAGGATGCACCATTCATTTGTCACCATTTAATTGATAGCAGATGCCAAAATTCAGCAATTCAATATAATTACACATATGAACCCATTAGAACATGCCTAATCCACATAGATGTACTATAGGCATTACACAACAGGCTAAATGTTAAAACCGCTCTAGAACTGGAAAATATCTTGACATATGTTCATTTAGAGAAAATATACTCCAAAAGATACACATTTAGAATAATTTGCTCGGAATCAAGATCAATTTTAAAATATTTAAAATTGTAGGAAAACACCCATTAATTCAGTTCTACCCTATACCACTCAACATCTATTCTAAGTCCTCTGGGGATATAAAATTACCACATTGAAATCCAAGGCACGTAATGTGCCTATACCCCTAACCATCCTAGGTCAACAACTGTAACTTATAGTTACTTAGTAATCTAGAATGAAGAAAGATACTATTCCTTTGAGTTCTTGCTTCAAAACATGTGTTTTTGTGCTGCTGTTTCAAACGAAGGACCATTTTCCTTCTTGAATCCATAAAATGAATTACTATATCCACATACCACATATACATATTGATAGGCAGCACATTAAAAAGGTTATTGTTATTATTATTATTATTATGTTATTATTTATATAGTGCCATCAAATTCCGCAGTGCTTTACAATGGGTGGACGAACAGACATGTAGATGTAACCAGACAAGTTGGACAGACAGGAACAGAGGGGTTGAGGGCCCTGCTCAATGAGCTTACATGCTAGAGGGAGTGGGGTAAAATGACACAGAAAGGTAAGGATAGTATTAGACTAGTGACAGTTGCAGAAGAGGAATCAGTTAGGGTTGCCCTGTAGTATGTAGAATTCAGAAGGTGTAAAGCTTAAGTAATTATGCAATGTAGAATCCTGCAGAATATGCATTATTCAACTCTTTTTACACGTTTTCCTAAATATGACAAATTTATATCTGCCCCAGAAAAATTTATGGATCTGGTAACTCTATCCATAATAGCAGGATTCACACCCGATTTCTCTGTGGATCAACAACCCGTTCACATACATATTAATTATATATTTAAATATTCTGTTTTTCAAAAAGAATATATCCAGGCTTTTAAAAAATAATATCTCCAGTATCTGATAGGACAACCCTTAAGATAGAGAATTCCGCATCTTTATTGGTATAACTGTAAAGAACTCTTTCTTTGCTGTAAGGGAAAACGCCTTTCTTTCAGTCTCACTGGGTGACCTCTTGCTGTTTTACAGTCCTGACAAACAGATTAGCACATAGCGGTTTGTACTAACCTTGTATATATTTGTACAATTCTATATTAGCCCATTGAGAAGCCTTTTTTTCTAAAGAAAACAAATGCATTTTTTCAGCCTATCTTGGTATCTAATGTTTTTTTTTCATTCCCCTTACTAGTTTTGTAGCTCTCCTCTGCACTTTTTCTAGTTCTGCAATATCCTACTTTAAAACTGATTGTAAAAATTGCACTGCATAATCAAAGTGAGGCTTACCATTGATTTATATGAGTCGAAATGATATCTTAATCACATGAATCAATACCCTTTTTATACATGACAGCACCTTACTAGTCTTTGAAGTGGCAGATCAGTGTTGCACACTGTTGCCTAGTTTATTATCTTTAATATTTCCCTAGTCCTTTTTCATATAATGTCGTCCTTAAGACAACCCCATTTAATGTTTATTTTGCTTATGGGTTTCTTATTCCAAAATGCATGGCTTTGCATTTATCTGTATTAAATCTCATCTGCCACTTGCCTGTACAGTACCCCAATTAATCCATATCCCTCTCTATAGAAGTTACATCATGTGCAGACTGTTATGTCCTATCTAGCTTTCTGTCATCTGTAGACAAAGACGCATGACTTTCAATGCCCACTTCATGATTATTTTATAGAAGTGGACCCAGCACAGAACCCTGACATACTCCAATACAATTTTGTCCAGCTTGCATTCTATCTTTAAGCCAGTGTCCAAGAACACAATTTTTTTGTCTAGGTCAGGCTCGGACTGGCCAACGGGCACACCAAGCAAATGCCCAGTGGGCTGCAATGTGTGCATGGGCCGAGGCCGGCAGGGGAGATCAAAGGACCACTGTCCCTTCATGGGCCGGATGGGAGATTCAGGGGCTGAAGGGGAGAAATTATCAGAACACACTCCGCGTGTGCTAAGCAGCCTCTGTCTTCTTGCGAGCATCGACATCGCTACAGAATTAGCTGGCTCTATATAAATAATAATATTAACAGAGTGTTGCCATGGTAACCTGTGGCAACATTCTGAAATACTGGCGCTCGCGAGAGGCAGAGACATGGCCTGTACCATGCGGAGGTACAGACCAAATAACTGGCCAGCTGGACCACCAGGGATCTGTGTGCAGCATGCCCCATCTCATGTGACCACCAGGAATCTGTGTGCTTCCTCTCCCCCTGCAAGATAACAAGGGAGATGGGAAGTAAATGGTATACATTTATATTTTATTATTAAATTAATCATCAAGCCACTATCCTACCCCCTTACATACACATATACAGTACACCCCCTGCACCTAGACACTCTGTACCCCCTTACATACACATTGTACACCCCCTGCACCTAGACACTCTTTACCCCCTTGAATACACACAGTACACCCCCGCTCCTACACGCTCTATACCCCCCTTACATACACACATTACACCCCCTGCACCTACATGCTCTATACCCCCTAACAGTACACCATCTGCACCTACATGCTCTATACCTACTTATATACACACAGTGCACAAAATCTATACACTCTAAACAAAAACTACAATCCTTGCACTCATACTCTCTATATCCCCTATAAACACACACTACACCTCCTGCACTGACCTATACTCTATACTTCTTGTACACACACCACACCCCCTATGCATTCACACACTCTACACACACTACTCTATCTACTCTATGAATACACATTATATACACATTCTACACACACACTACACCACCTATGCACACACTATACCCCTATAAACACACTACACACCCTATACACATTGCTGCACCTATACACACACATGTGCACTACAACCCATATACGCGCACACACACTAAAGCTCCTAGATACACACAATGCAGTCCCCTGCATGCCCTAGAAACATACAGTACAGCCCTCACATGCACAACCCCTAGGCCCACAGACTCTACAGGCTCTATAAACACATACACACTACAGCCCCTAGCCACATATAGTATGCCAAACACAGACCACTTTATACACAAACTACAACACAAATAGTCTCAAATACAAACACATGTAATCACACAAGCAACCTCCAAACACATACAACATCATAGGGAGCATCCACATATAAGCACAACACACTTTACCAGTCCTGTTCCTCTTTTGTTCTCTGGTATCCCACTATTGAGGACACCAAAGACAAATCACTAGCAAATGCAGCGCATGTTGACGTTGCAAAAAAACAAACAAAAAAAGGATGTTTGCTCCACCCCAGGGCATTGGATGCTATGGAGGGGCATCACACTAACAAACACATCCACTTTCTGTCTACGCCCCTTTTAGTGGTCTGCTCTGCCTTCAATTGCCCGTGCTTAATTTTTGTCCCAGTCCAGCCCTGGTCTAGACCCACTGATTTCAGTTTTAATAGTAATTTTTTTAACCAAATTCCTTGGTAGATCACACCCACTGCAACACTCTCATCTATATTTCTACTAATTTTTTTAAACAATGCAATTATGACCTGTCCTTCATAAAACCATGTTAAATTCCAACTAATGATATTGTTGTTCAGCTGTTTCACTTTTGATTCTGAATGGTGCTCCCATGCTTTTAGATCTCTGGGTGCTCAGTTAAACTATACCAGATCCACCCCATAAGGAGCAAACTACTCATCTAAAAGATCCCGACAAACACCTGTTACATTGGAAAGCTTATCAAATATTATAAGTAGGCTATGACTTTGAACCAAAAATGACCACCCTCTTCACGATTCTCTAGCCCCTCAAAATCCCCATTATTAACTTAGATATTGTTAGATTACAAATGTATATAATCCACCTTTTGTACAACCACAAAATATCTTCCCCTTTAATAGATATACTTTGCTACCTCAAACTTCTCAGAAGCTTAACAGTCTGAAGCCTAAGCAATGGAAATTCAAAAATATTGTAGCAACTGAAAATTAAAGATTCCAGATCACACATAACTTAACTGATATCTCTGATGTCCTACCTGAAATCAGTTGCAGCCACTCCCCTACCAACATGGAAGTCACAGTCCCACACCAGTTATTCTCTTGGCCAGGATCTTGATATTACCATCTCCTGTACATCCTAGTTAGGTATCCTAAGCTCACTCTTGGGATACAGCTTGATGTCAACCATGTAGAGAAGCATTGTCCATCTGCAGTCTTCCGTACCTTGGCCATAGGATCTGTCACTCTTAACTACTCTTTGTGGCATCTACCATCTGGACTTGGGCAGTTCCAGCCCTGATTCTGTGTCAGTACACATGTATGCTTTTCCTATAGTAGGATTAGTCTTTTCCAACCACTGGGCGGATGTGAGCCACAACCGCTAATCTCCTCATTTTCTGTTGAACTCACAGGTATTTGGGAGCCATCTTCTGTTGTTTTTTTATTCAGGACTGTGGCCTTGACAGTCTCTGGGTGCTGGATTTATAGTGAGTAGTTTCCAGCTCTTGCCATCCAGTTCTTCTTGGCTATTATTATTTCAGCTGGCTATTTATACCGTTACTGGTTTAGTGATCGGACCAGGATTCGAACCTGGGGCTCCCAGTTCTAAGGCATATGCATATCTAATATTAATATTTTGATTATTAAAATTAGCATTTATAGAGCCAACATATTTTACAGCATTTTACAATGATAGAATATGGATATTTGACAATAAGCTATTGACATATAGAATATTAAGAGACAAATGAGGAACTGAGGAGGCCAATTGCAATGAGGGAAGTGTCACCCAGGAAGATAGTAGTAACCTCTGCTCAAGGTACCAAATTGAAAATGTAATTCAAAGGGAAATGAGGAGCCTTCCCTGTTCCTGTACAGTGCAATGAGATAGGCCATGTGCAATCTTTTTGCACCAGGGGTCATTACCGGCAGTGGTGTATTTAGGATTTGTGCTGCCCTAGGCGGGACAGTGCTCGGGCACCCCCCCCCCCCAATTTAAGTTTCCCCACCACTTCCTATCAAGGCCGCACTTTGACTGACAGGCGCTCACTCACTGACAGACGCACACACTCCCTGATAGATGCATATACTCATTGACAGACACACACTCTCATATACACTGACAAACAATGACATACACACACACTCACTGATTTGACACACTGACAGACAGACACACCCTATTACTCGGACACACACTGACAGACTCACTGACAGATGCACACACTCACTGACCAACACATACACACTCACTGACCAACACACGCACACTCACTGACAGACGTACACACACTGACAAACGTACACTCTCACTGACCGACACACACACACACACACACACACATTCACTCACAGACACACACACACACACATTCACTTAGACACACACACTTACAAACACACACACACATTCAATCACAGACACACACACACACACACACACACACATTTCCACCAATACTCACAAATTATTATTTTTTACATTTTATTTTAAATCCATCCAGCCTCCCTGGGAGAGCTGGAGTGAATTACTAACCTGTGGTCCAGTGGGGCTGCTGAGCGGGTAGGCAGGGGGCGGACAGGCTGAGTAGGAGACGGGGAGCTTTAATCTCCCTGCTCAGCTCCCTCGCGCTCCGCTTAGTGATGCCGGGAGCCGGAGTGACGTCATGTTCCGGCTCCCGGCTTCATTAAGTGGCGCGCAAGGGAGCTGAGCAGTAAGAGCTCAGGTGAGCATTCTCCCTCGCCGCCCGCTGCCCACTTTGGGGGGGCTCAAAAGTGGCCAGCTCTTGAGCCCCCAGGACATGAGGCAAACAAGGGATCTG